AAAAAAAAAAAAAAAAAAAAAAAAGAAACAAAAACAACGCATCTGGGAAACACAGAGTGTGCTATTATTATGGAAAGTTAGGACAGCCGTGGCATTTTTCAAAGAAAAATAGCCACAAAGTAAAATAACTAGTGGAAACAGGAATTCACGTGATTTCAAATCTTATGTTTGGCTCCAAAGACAATTGGATTTTTATTTTTATTTTTGACAGTGCTGGGGATTAAACCTAGGGCCTTACACATGCTAGGCAGGCCTCCTACCACTGAGCTACAGCTCCAGGCCCTTCCAGCTGGAGTTTTATATCTGCTCCATTCAGTTCGTGTTGTCATTTTGATTGGAGTAGGTGAAGAAAACGTAGACACATAGATACGTAATTGGGAAAGGGAGGGAGTTCAGTCACCTGATTGTTTGTATTTTTCTTTTATACCATACTGACTCAATAATATCTTTGAAAAGTTTGTTGCAGCATGGAATCTGAACTCATCGATCATTTTTTCATACTCTGGACAGTCATGAGAGAGTGAAAAAGGCAAAAAAAAATCTTTGTGTTTATTATGAAATAGTTTTTTTGTTTTTACAGGGCCAGGTATTGATCCAAAGGTCTTACACGTGCTAGGCAAGCACTGTTAACACCAAGCCACATTATGAAATAGTTTTGAGCTTGCAGTACCCTGAGAAAATTGTGAGAACTGCTGTTTGGAGGGATTTTCTCCACAGATTTTATTTTCATCACCAGTAGAGGGCAGAGAAGACTATTTCATAAAGAGGCTTTTGGAAAAACTTTACAAAGAGCTTTTGTTTTAAATCATTTTCTCGTGTCCCCTGCTTGGGTTCAGAGATCTCATGATATCACAGGAAATCATAAAGAAGTTGCTTAGTGGTCATAATGTGACAAGCTATGAGAGCACCATTTCCATCTATATATCTCTCTCTATCTCTCTGTGTATAGAAGGAATCAAGTTAAAGGTAATAGGTTAGAACAGTGCCCTGGTCAGTTCTAGAAAAGTACTATAAAGTGCCAGGGATTTAGCTCAGTGGTTTTGCTGCCTGCCTTGTAAGCTCAAGGGCCTGAGCTCAATCCCTGGTACCAAAAAAAGAAAAAAGAAAAGTACTGTAAAATTGTTACTCTTTTTTTTTTAATATTCATTTATTCATATTCTACTTCCACCCACCATTGGGATTGAACCCAGGACTTTTCCACTGAGCTGTGTCCCTAGTTCCTTTTTTGTATTTTTAAATTTTGAGACAGAATCTCACCAGATTGCCCAGGCTTGCCTCAAATTTGTGATCCTCCTGCCTTAGCCTACTGAATAGCTGAGATTATAGCTGCATATCGTGGCTCCAGCTTCTCATTATTTTTAAAGAACAATGGTCTAGGGATATAGCCAGTGGTAGAAATCTTAACTACCATTCACAGGCCCTGGATTCATTTCCAGCAAAAAAAAAAAAAAAAAAAAAAAAAA